TCTGTACTCTATGGAGGAAATAGAAGGATTCAACACATAGAGAGAGTGTAATGCTAGATGCCAGAAGATGCTTAGGAGGACGAGGCTCATGAGAAAATGTTTAATGAACAGAAGAATGCACATAAATAAAGGGAAGAAGCTATGGGATTTTTAAGCTGCTTTGTCCTAGACATGATCCACAGTCAGTCATGTGGGAGTCCAGTGCCTTAACCACAACACCACCTGCTGCTGACCCCTCATTTTTTATTTTTAAAAAAATTGACTTCCCATGCTTGTTCTTTGAAACAGGTGGCATGGTGGTTAAGGTGCTGGACTCCAAATCATACCAAACACACGTGCTTAAGTGCCCCAAAATCCCAGCAGCAGAATGGAGAAGAGATTGTGGTGTAGCCATCCCCACTGTGGGGTTGTTTGTCACTTTCCCTCTCTGTCTCTCTCTGGCAGGCACACAAACCCTATGGCTAAATAAATAAATAGCAAGATAGCTAGATAGCTAACTAAGACATTAAAGATATAATAGAAACATCACTTTATTGGGCACAAAAAGAATTCAGTCTCATTAGTTCCCAGGTTGCAGCTTCAGAGTATCTTCAGAGAAGTAAAGTTGGGCTCTTGAAAGAGAAGCCTGGATGAACACAGTAACTGCATCCTAGAAATCATCCTCCACACAGTCTCTGCAATGATGTGTGGCCATTTTGCTCTCTAGGAATTACTAAACATCAGCTCTGGGTTGGCTTTTATCACAGAGCCTTAGACTACGACTCTACTGTATCAGTCTAAAAGAGTGTGATAGTCAAATAAAATATATTTTTTTTGCTCAGTTTGACTTACATTAGGCCAGTGAGACCCACCCTATGTTTATTTCATAGTTTTGTGCATAGTTGGAATAAACATACTTGCCCCTTGTACGATATAACCAGTAGTTCCCCAACTCACAGAGTTAAGGTCAAATTGAACTTTCTCAAACTATATTTCCATACGAAAACAGTAAGTAAAAAGATTATCATAACCCTAGAGAACTGCTGACATTAGGGCCATCACCAAAAGCATGAAAACTGCAGTGGTGGTGATTACTGATAGCTCACCGTTTCTCTCTCACAAGGGCACACTGAGATGGATTTAGAGAATAGCCTTGCCCAATATGGAATCAGAGGGTGACACTAATTACAGACATTCCTTTCTAGGTGGTGTCTACTACAGTGTATCAAAATATGTCCCTACACTGTTATCAGCCTAGGATTTGGAATGCTTTTCTCTCTTTATCAATTAGTAAGGACAACTAGAAATATTTCACTTTCTCTGGCAAGGATATCAGTATCCCTTCACTGTCAGACCTCAGGGCAATTCTTCCAGTCCATGATAGACAGAAGCCTCGATTGTCTAGACATAATATAGGATACCACACTGACAATAACATATTGATCACATCAGCCCAGATGCTTTCATAAACACGTGCATTCTTCTGGTGGCAAGAAACACTGACACTTCAAGAAATATTGACAACTGCTTGACAATTCAGCAGATTTTCTTAAATGTGGTCTGGATCATATTAGAATAATCTAACATAAAAGGCAAATGCCTACACCTTAGATGATCTATTATAACACTTAAAGAGAGGCATAGTGCTTTTGGGACCTGTTGTATATTAAAGAAAATATACTCATTTATAGAGTTGTCCAAAAGAGCTAATAAATGAGAAAAAAAAAATGGCTCTGTAGATTTTTCTTTTGTAAGTTCAGACGGGTGGTACCTGAAATTTCTTGGATGGGTTGGTTGGTTAGCAGGATGACTGCCTCGCTAACTGGTTACTTGAGCTCTGGGAGAAACTACACTCTTAACTATGAGCTAGCAAGTGACTATGTAATCTGAAATTTCCATGATAAGATGTTTTCTCAATTCCTGGGCTATAAGATTAGGCTGTATAAATCAACATGTCAAGTAGAAATGATCTCTTTGAAATTAGGCTCAAACAGGTCAAGAAAGCACAAGATGCACAAAACAGTAAACCAAACTCAGAACATATTCCTGCCACACTGCCCCATCACTTCAATTGAAATTTATGAGCTCATAGGAAAAGTTGGTCAATGAGAGACACACAAAATTCAGGACTTGGGACTAGCAGGTGGCATGGAGGTTAAGATGGCTAAATCTCACATGACCAACTTTGCAACTCAAGTGCCAGACGTGGTGACTTAAAAATCACACTAGGCGCATGCATGCCCAAAATCCCAAGAGAAGAATAGAAGAGAAAGGACTGTGGTGTGTCCATCTCCTGGGGGGTGGGGTGGGGTCACTTCTCACTTTCCCTTCTTCCCTCTCTTCCATTCTCTCTCTCTGGCAAGTTAACACACTCTATAGCAAACAACAAATTCAGGGCTCATCTGTTGATAGATTGGTACAACATACAGGCAATAAGCAGAAATATACTGACATGGCATTAAGCCTCACTCTGTCATGGCAATAAAAAATATTGTAAAAATGTTTAAGTGGGCCCCAGTGCAGTCCCTCTGGTTGTTCGCTTGTTCGCTTTGTGTCATGAGACTACCCTGATTAATGGGCAATGGTTAATGGTGGCTGGCTGGTCAGGAACATAGAAATAAGGAGTTGGCAAGATTGGTTGGTGGCAAGGAGGCCTGTTCAATGGTCAGAATACTTTTAAAACTTCCCACTCATATGAACTCCTCACTGTTCCTAAATCATTTTGTAATGCTTTTCCTGCATTGGCTTAATTTTGCTAGTCAATAAAAGATGTTAAGGGTCAAGTATTTTTTTGTTCTTTTTGTTTTTGTTTTTTCTTCCCAAGAGAGATTTTTGCAGTAGGGCACATGAGCTCACCAGAGAGACAGAGAAAGACACAGAGACACAAAGTTAGAATCCACACCCCCCCCACACACACAGGGTGGGAGGGAAGACCACACTGTAATCCCTTCTTCTCCATCCTCCTCTCAAGATCTTGGCCATGCATGCACATACAACCGGTATGAATTTTAAGCTGCCGGATGTGGGACTCAAACCATGATCAACTACATGGGAGTCCATGGACGTAAACATTACGCCACCTGCTAATCCTTGGTTTTGTTTTTCAGACAACTAAATTGTTTTGGTGGTAAATCATTCACACTTTTAAAAACTTAAGATCGGGTCCTGCAGTTGCCGTAAGGGCTATGTTGTTTGACTCCCATGTAGTCAACCGCAGTTCGAGTCCTGGACCTAGTGGCTTAAACTCACACCGGGTATGTATGCATGCTTGCCCAAGATCCCGAGAGAAGAACAGAGGACTAGGGATTGCAGCGTAGCTATCCACCCTGGGGAATGATTTCTCTCTTTCTGTCTCTTTCTGGCAAGCACATGCACCCTATAGCAAAAACCTCTCAAAAAAAAAAAAGAAAGAAAAAAAAAGAAAGAAAGAAAGACAGAAAAAGAAGAAAAAAACTTAAGCTCTTCCTTAGCTGAATTGTATTATAAGAACCCCTCTAGACAAAATAAACTGATGTCTTAAGTATGAAAAAGAACAGCTACCTTATATGCAAATAAAATGCTAGTTGTTTTCCTTTATTTTTTTTTTTAATTGCCAGAGGGTATATGTGCTCACTAGAAAGAAAGAATCACACCACAATCCTTTCTCCCTCCATTTCTCCATCCCCTTGGGATTTGGGCCATATATACACATTTACCTAGCATGTTTTTCAACCTGCCAGGGCTGGGATTTAAATGACAGCCAGCCATGTGGGATTCAGCTCCTGTAAGCACTAGATTTGGAGGCTAGCACACCAATTTGTTTTAGTTATAGCACATAACCAGCCATAGCCCAGATCTGTACCTGTGCTGATCACCTATCTCAGGTTATAGTAAAGCAATTAGGTGTGCACTTTCAAAATATAAAGAAACATTTTTGATTACAGAGAGCGAAGTTATATAAAATCCTGAATTCTCTCTAAGGTATTATTAAAAATAATTATTTGAATTAATAAATGAATGTACAATTCTGAATTTCTCTTCTGTTCAAAAACATTGATTGAGAACTTAGTATTTTCAACTAAATACAGAATAAATAATAGTTTTCCCTAGTTGTAAAAATTGTTTAGTTTAGCCATCAATTATCAAACAAAAGGCCAGTAATGAAAGTTTTTTGTTTTTTTTTTTTTTTTGGAGAGGTTTTTGCTATAGGGCGCGTGCGCTTGCCAGACAGACAGAGAGAGACATAGAGACAGAAAGAGAAAAATCACCCCCCAGGGAAGATGGCCACGCCACAATCCCTTCTCCTCCATTCTCCTCTTGGGATCTTAGGCACGCACGCACACGCACCCGGAGTGAGTTTTAAGCCACCGAGTCCGAGACGCAAATCGCGGTCAACTACGTGGGAGTCCAGTTACATAGCCATTACACTAACTGCTGGTTCCCAGTAATGAAAGTTTTAATTGAATATGTGAAATAAGAATGGGCAAAGTGATAGATGTTTTATAGAAGCAAGCCCTATTCAAAGTGTATTATTTGGAGTCAATAGATAGCCATTTTCAGCATTCTAGATAAAAAGTCTGAAAACTTATTTCTTTCCAACTATTTTCAGTTCCAGAGACTGAACACTGAGTAATGCTTATCACATCATTTAAATGTATTCTTTTTCCATCTTGTACTGTTCAATATAGTACCCACTAGCCATATGTGAAATTTATATTAAAATTAGCTAAAATTAGATCAAATTAAAAATTTTCTCCTTAGTTACACAAGTCTCATTTTAAGTGCAAATTCGTCCTATGTGTTCAGGGCCTCCCTATTATATTATAGAAAATTTTCATTTTCATGGAAAGTTTTATTGATCTCACAAGTCTATCTTGCAAATTAATGAACAAGTAAAGCTACTGAATTTTGAAACTAATGGATGCTGATCTTTCATTTTCTTCTACTGTATTTGGGTCTACTTAATTGAATAGATTCTATTCTGTTGTAAAATTAATGGCTTACTTTATTTTCTCTTTCTGGTTGTAAAACAAATGTCTTACTTTCTTCTGTTGGCAAGTGTCTCTTCGCCATTCCTTGCAGAGCTCTTCATTCCATGCTTCTCTCTGCTCTGATCAAAAGAACAGTGGGGGCTTTGTGTGGGTGTTCTTACTGGACGGCCACAAATCTTATTTACCTTTTAAATAGGGAAAAAAAAAGAAGCATTAAACAACAATTAGAAACCCTCTCCAGCCATCCTGAGGATGTAATGTTTCAGAGGCCAAAACAATGGAAATTTCTCAATTATATATTTATATTTACCATTAACATATACATTGTCATTTTTCAAATAAAAAAATCAAATTATCTATATAAATAGACAACCATGATAAAATCGATATCATGCATATTTATATATATATGTGTGTGTATATATATATACACACACACACTTTATAGCATATGTATACAATATGTGCAAAATCAGAGGACTATATTGATACACTGACTTGCTTGTATAAATAAACTACTTAACTGACATAGATATTATTCATGAGTTATATTATATGTAAATTAATCATATATTTGTATAGCTTTTCAATTAAATAATTTAATATTGACTATATAGTCATTTTCTACAGGAGTTCTAATGGAAAAAAGTATTTTTGTAGTTTTTTTTTCCTTAAAGTTCTTTCTTAGAAGTGACAATGAAAATTTCAAAATATTTTTATATCTTCTTCCTCAATCTAGTATAATTTCCAGGTGTCATTATGTTCTTTTTAAAAACATAATTTATCTAAGTGAGACATTCATTCTTTAACACTTATCTAGCAAATATCTTCAAATAATTTATATAATTATGATTAAAAAACAAAGTAGTTTAACATGGAAAGCATGAAAAAAAAATCATGTATCTTAAGTTACTTGAAAGTACAATATAACTGAAGATATATAAAAGCATTGCCTCCACAAAAGAGAAGCATTGTATATCCCCACTTAATATACACCAAATGTCTGCACTCTATGGCAGGAACTGAAATATTGGAAGGTATAAAAGCATGGACAGCAAAGATAGATACCAGAGAGAGTGTGGGAAGAGAGTAGGAAATGGGGTGGGAGGAAGGGAATCAAGGGAGCAAAACATTCAACAAACACAAAAACGGAAAATTATCTATTGATGATATTGTGTATGGTAATATCTTTGACCAGATAATCATACAGTGCATTCATACTGGGAAAATTCATTTTCTTTTTTTTTTGAAATTATTTATCTATTTAATTCCATTTGTTATTATTAATTTTTACATTTTACTGGAGAGAGAGAGAGAGAGAGAGATAGCAAGCCACCAGGTCTGGGATTAAAATCATGGTTGGCCATGTGGATGTCCAGCACCTTTATCCACCAGGCCACCTGCAAGCCCCAGGAAAATTCATTATCTATATTGTAGAGATAAACAATATTGAATGTAAAAAATAAGAATAAATAAATGAATGAGCATTGCCTAAAAATTAGGAGACTTAAGACCCTGTCTAATTTTTCCTTCTTTAGTGCTAAGATCTTGAACACATGATGACATCTCTTTAAATTTCATGTCCCAATATGTAAAATGAGGAAGTTATAATAAACTTTTCCAAAAGTTCCTTTAAATTTCCCAATTTTTGTTGATGCAACTATTAAAGAATGTATGCATTTATCTGCTTTAGCCATATTTATTTTGCTTCTAATATTTGAGAAGCACATATATTGGATGTCATAAGAGGGGAAAAAAGGTCATTAAATTTTCCCTTTATAGAATATAAAAGAAAAAAATAAGTGCTCCCAATCATCAAGATGCAAATTACCTATGTCTAAGAAGCGAGTCCGACACTGTGTTATGGAAGGAAGTCACAGACAGGTGGGATCATTTCCAATTGGTAGTAATAGGTAAAGAAAGCATGGAGGGAGACTGCTCTGGAAAACATCACTCTATTGGGATGAGACTTTAAACATCCTCTTGAGCCTGGATATGTTGAGATTTACTGTAATGAAGCCATATTAATAAATATTTGTTTCGCCCCTTATGTTAGGTGCTAGAAATACAAATATGAACAAGCTGTGGCTTCACATGCATAATTTAGATAAAAAGTCACACAGTAAAATAGCAATTGTATAATACAGCATCAAAAAGCAACAATGAGTTACATGGTAATATTGGGTTGTCAGAAAAGTCATGACGTGTTTTTGTATAGAAAAATACATCATGACTTGTTGGATGACCCAAATAGTAACATCATAATACACAGAAAAACAAATTATGTAGGATGCACAGGGACATGTTTTAGGAGATCACCTCCAAGTAGCAGTAAAGAATGAAATAGGAATCTGTCAGGGTGGCAACAGAGCAGAGTACAAGATGCTAGGAGACAGTACAATGGCAAAGAGGTAAACAACAACTTAATATACATACAGAGCAAGGAAGACATACAGAAAGAAAGTGGTATAGCTAGGTAAGCTCAATGTGAAAGACATAAAATTACTATATGACTTGGATATCAAGTTGCAGAAATTGGTAGAGCAAACGGAGTTGCAGGCAAAAGATTCCATGTAAGAAAATGGCAGCTTGCGATTTCTACAGAAGAAAAATCTGCATGAGAGCCTGTGAGAAGGAAAAGAAAGCAAGCTCCTTTGGATAGTTCATGGAGAAATATTAGGTCTAAAAGTCATGGCAGGAACAGTAAAAATGAAGCAGCAGATCCAAGAGACACAGAAGAGGGCAGAGAGTAAGACTCAGAGACTGCTTAGTTACATAATCTTCATGAAACAAAGAATAGTGATGGTAGCCAGAAGAAAAATCTGGAGACAGGTAGGTGTACAAAAACATGAGGCTGATGCAAAAAACGAATGAAAATCTATTGCCTGGAAAGAATGGGTCATGAAGGGTAATAGTAGTGGAAATTACGCTTAAAGGAAATGTTGGAGACAGATCTTGGAAGGCTTCAAGTATCAGGTTAGGAAGGTTTTTGTATTAGACAAAAGGCCCTAATGGTTGCTGAATGGAAAAGTAAAATATCGCAGCTAACATTTAGCTAATGCATCTGGCAGCAGAGCTGGACAAGAAGAGGAAAATTATTCAAGGCAGATAAACTATTAACAGGCTTAAGTAGACCTCAGAAGAGAAATTTTAATTCTGAACTATATTTGTGACAGTATTCTTGAAGTATGGAGGAGTAAAATCAACAGGACCTGGCAAATGAATGAGAGTGGGAACTAAGGGAAGTGTAAGGTGTTTTAAGTCTCAAAGTAAATTTCCAATGTTGAGACAGAAAAATGGTGATACTAGGGGACCAGCAGGTGGCATAATGGTAATTGTCACTGGACTCCCACATAGTTGACCATGGTTCGAGTTCCAGACCTGGTGGCTTAAAACTCATGCTGGGCACATGTATCTGCATGTCCACAATACAGAGAGGAGAATGGAGGAGAAGAGACTATGCCATGGCCATCTCCTGGAGGAGTGATTTCTTATTTTCTATCTCTCTGTCTCTCCAGCAAGCACACACACCCTATAGCAAAAATCTCTAAAAAAAAAAAAAAAAAAACGGTAATACTAGTAATAGTGGAGTATAAACATATTAGCAAGATGCTAAATTATTTTATTGTCCACAACATCTAATAACAAGGATCAAGGGAAGATGGTGCACACTGATGACAGACATGTCAAGAATAAGATTGTTTGGAGATACTGAAGGATATTTTGATAGAAAGGAGTAAAGGACAAAGGGACTCTGTAATTAGCATCTGATGTCACTAGCTATGGGACTTGAGGCAAATAACAGAACTCCCATAAATCTGTTTTCCTATCCTTGAAACATGAGAAAATAAAACCACTTTGCAGTTATGAGTTGAGGGAAATCTTATCTCACCCTGTCTCTCCCATGTTGGACCTCAGAACCTATCTGCTATTAACATCAACAGGGAGATGGAGAGATGAAAATCCCAGTCTCACACAATCTCTATCCCCATTATCATTTTTTTTTGCATTTTATTTTTTACAAATACAAAAGAAAATGCACTAATCAGGGACTAAGAAGGTGCCTTTCATTGAACCCAAAGATAAAAGAAAATACAGCAGATTCCAAAAAAATAAGTAAATTTCAAAGCTCTTATATCTGTTGACTTGCTATTAGAGAGCTTTGCTTCATGCTTTATTGAAAGGGAATGGAAAACCATCTGTTACCAGACATTAGCCTGTCACCTTAGCTCCCCTGAGCTGGGCCGATTTAGGTGGCACATTTCAATACTGGGACCTTCTTCCTATTAAGAAAACCCTCACACTTATCTTGACAATTTTTCATCTTTGACTTATACTGCAATTTCCTCCTTATTCTCCTCCCTGGTCTCTACCATTCTCCTCTGCAATCAGTCTGAAGTGTCTGGGAAAAAAATTACTTTCCTTCCTAATGCTCACCTACTCTTGCTCTTAGTTCCACTGCTGGCTTCCCACTGATTTCCAAGTTTCCATTTCACCTTGAAATGACTCTCGTTAGTTGTTCCTAACCCGTATCACTTCTCCCACTCTGATCAAGTATTCATTTTAGCAACTCATTGTCTCTTAGCTTCTTAGTGGACACACCATTCTCACTGTAATCTTGGCACTACACACCCAAGTATAAACTTCAGTATTGCCTCCCTTCATCTGTTCAGTCTTAAATCTTCACAAGATTTTCACAAAAAGCTTTGCAAAGTATAAATTGTTCATTCAACTTGACTCCCATAAGCAGAGTCTCCTCTTCTATTGTAGTGGTACTTTTTAAATGTTTTTATTAATTATAACACATTGAAATGTAAATATGTTTGATACACTGCCTTGTGTAAATATGTAAATATGTTTAACATAACACAAATTGAAAAGTCAGGGATACATAGAGGTGCTATGCATGATTAGTAACCAATCTGGTTCAGAGGATGAGGTCAAGAAAGGCAGACTCTAGAACCCCTTGTATGTAAGGGCAACTGACTGCTTTCCATCAAGCCATATCTAGGAGGCTTTGAGTTAATATGTGGTTGTGGAGAAAGTCACGACCCATGTTTGCATAGGAAAACAGAAAAAGATGTCATGACTTTCCTGAAAATCTAATAGATTAACAGAAATCACATAAGGAATGAGCCTGCCGGCCCTACTTAAAAATGGAAATAATAATGAATAAAATAAGCAA